GTCCCCTGTCCCCTGTCCCCTGTCCCCTGTCCCCTGTCCCCTGTCCCCGCATCTGATTGGGGCCGCAGCCCCTTGGAGAGGCCGGCGGCCCGCCCATGTGCTCGGTGTCCGCCTCGGTTGCCGCCGCCGAGCACGCTTGCGCCCGCCGCCTCCGCGAGCGCGACGCCGCCTGCGAGCTGCGCGTGGCTTTCTCGCGCGGCGCCGGCTGCGGCGCCTGCGGCGGCCGCGGCGGCGGCGGCTGGGAGGGAGGAGGAGGCTGCGCTTCTGGCAGCAGCGGGGCTAGCAACGGGGCCGGCTTCGGCGGCGGCCGGGCTTCGGGCGCTGCGGTGCTGCAGGTGCGGTGCGGGCTGGAGCTTGTTGGGGCGGCCCCCTCCACCAGTCCTCAGCAGCAGCAGCAGGAGCAGCAGGAGCAGCAGCAGGAGCAGCAGCAGGAGCAGCAGCAGGAGCAGCAGCAGGAGACTTACATCGTGTCCCTCAAGGAGCTGAAGTGTGCGGTGTCCCAGCCTTTGCCCGGCTGCGGCACCCTCCTGACCAGCAGCTGCAGTTGCAGCTGCAGCAGCGGCGGCTGCTGCGGTGGCGGCCGCGGCAGCAGCAGCTGTGGACGCGGCAGCAGCTGTGCTCGCGGCAGCAGCTGTGGCCGCGGCAGTAGCTGCGGCCGCAGCAGCGGCTGCTACGCCCCTGGCGGCGGGAGCGGCTGGCAGGCGGCGGGGCTGTCCAGCTGTGATGGACGGGCGGGCGGCTCGGAGGACGCGAGCTGGCAGCCGGCAACGCCGGCGCGGCACGCTGCGGCCCATGGCGCCGGCAGCGGCGCCGGCGTTTTGAGCGGCAGCTCTTCGGCGTCGGTGTCGGCGCCGCTGCTGCGCAGGCAGATCGGGGAGTCTTCAGGGTGGAGCAGCACCGCTAGCGGCAGTGCTGTGCACAGCAGCACCGCCTGCAGCTGCACCGCCCACACAGGCTGCGGCAGCGAGGGCGCGTCTGCGGGGTCCCCGGGCGGCGGCACATTCGGGGATGTGCTGCTTGGGCCGGTGATTGGAAAGGGGTCGTTCGGGAAGGTCTACAGAGGTGGGCAGCCGGTGCTGCTTGATGCCAGCTTGGCTCTCTACTGGCAGTACGGCTGGCGTTCGCAGCAACAGATAGGGATCAGCGTGGCGCTCAGCTCGGGGACATGCCGGTCGCGTTGGGCCGCATCCTCCCCGCATCAACCACCCTTGCTCGCTGCCTGCATTTGCTGCTCAAACGCAGGGAGTTGGCGCGGCGCGGACGTGGCCGTGAAAGTTTTAAAAGTGCGTGAATCAGCGCAAAGCCACAGCGGCTGCCTCGCCGCCGACATCCCCAGTGCTTGCCCCGGCTCGCCCTACGCCGCCGCGCCCGGCGCGGGCTTCCCCGCAAGCCAGGCAGCCCACGGGCATCTGGCGGGGGCGGGGCGCGGTGCCAAGGGGGTGGCGCCGCTCGAGGGGCTGCTGCAGGAGCGGGTGCGCCACCCAAACGTCGTGCGGAGCTTTGCGGTGTTCACCCGCACCCTGACTGCCAGCTCAGCGCCCGGCGGTTGCAAGGGCGAGGGTGGGCGATTTGCGGCCGGGGAGGACGTCGGGCCGTCGGACAGCGGCCTTGGCGCCGGGGCGTTCAGTCTGAAAGCCCACGGTTACAGCAGCAGGAGCAGCAGCAGCAGCAGCTCCCTCCAGGCGCCGACCACCTCGCTAGCAACAGTAGCAGCACCGCAACTGTTGCAGCAGCGGCAGCAGCAGCAGCAGCAGCAGCAGGAGCAGCGGGATCGCTGCCGCGGCGCGGCGCGCCTCACGCAGGCCGCGATCGTTTTGGAATACTGCAGCCAGGGCTCCCTCGCCAGCGCTATCGAGGGCGGCCGCCTCGGCCTCGGCCGCCTGCCCGGCGTCCTGGCGACCGCGGGCCGGCTGCGCGCGGTGCTGGCGACCGCCGGGGAGGTGGCGGCGGCGATGGCGCACCTGCACAGCGAGGTGCGCTAGCTTCTAGTTGTCGCATGCGTTGAGGCCGGCGCCGCCCTGCCCCTGGTGCCGGCTCCCGTAGGAGCGATTTTGGATGCGGAGCTGCTGCTGCCCCCTGCGTTTTCGCCTTTTGCCCGGACTATTCCTGCAACCTGGGGCCGCGGCGGCTGCAGCTCCGCAAATGGGCTGCCTCTTGATAAGGTGCCTGCCTTCTCCCCTGCCAGCAAATCTGTGCCCGCCTACTCCCATACCC